ATGATTTTCTCCTTATTTCTTGAGATACATTGAGTATATTTTGTTTTGGGCATTACTGTACAGCCACTTGATAAGCAAAACATTCTGGTTTCATATGGTTAGATGGTACATCATGTGAAACTATGTTTGGAAACTATGGGCTGTGTTCACAACTTTGGTTCCTGTTTGCTTGCTGCTGTCATGTAACAACAATCACTTTCACAGTCAAGGCCGAAGTGTACAGAGGGAGCTGTACAATAACAAAACAGGTCACTTACTCTGTGAATAATGTCAGCTGAATGAATATACTGAAAAGAGGGACACAGAGAGATCAGGTAACATCATCATCAGAGCAAAAAACACTTACACTGTAACTAGGAGACAATTTGGGTAACACATTTTGTTCATTTTAACTCACCTTTAGCCCTCTAAGAATTTGATATATGAGGAACTGTACATGGTCATCTGTCAGTTTCTGGCATTTCACTATGTTGTTCAAATCAGCCCCCATTAGATGAGTGACAAGATATCTGTCAAACAAAGGATACAAATTATTCTAAAAACCCAGCCAACACACTAACTTTTTCACAATCCAAATTGATATTTTCTATTTGCAATATTGTGTGGCCCTGTGTAGCTGACCGTTTCCACTACTCTTGCATTTTCTGTTATTTGAAATCAATTTCCCACATGGTCCGTGTGAGCTTAAAAACTGGTTTAGCTGCACTGTCTTTTCACTTTCCTCTTGAGAATTTTAAAAGGCCTGAACCTTCACAAATGCCATGCCATTTAGCTCCAACCCTACCAAAATGAGCTTTAACTGGCAACTTTGGTGAATAATATTTCTTAAAACACACACAAATATAGCTTCTGCAAGGTGGCAAGAGCTGGAAGCTCCAGTGGCACTTTCACAGCCAAAACACACAACGCCGTGAGCGGTCTCATCACTGTGAGGCACGCTCAACCAATTCCTGTTTCAAGAATGCTCTCCTATTCTCACTGAGCACAGAGAAAGTGAGACAGACAGAGAGAGAGAGAGAGACAGAGAGGGAGGGAGAGAGAGAGTGGGAGAGTTAAAATAGCAGCTGGTTGTGCTTGAACTTGTTCTCTGCAGTGCACAGCAAAGCAAACGCTCTCCGAAGTTCACTGCCTTGGAAAAAAGGATATAAATAGTGACTTGAGCTTTCCCGTCTCTGATAGGAACAGGAGCCAGGTTTTGACCCTAAAGAAGCTCAGTAATGTTATTGTGAGCCAGGCTGTAGTTGTAGAGATAAACAACCATGGGAAAGACTGTGACATTGGAAACTGAACATGGCAGCTTATGGCATTACCACATCCATAAACATAATGCAGAGTCACTCAAAACAAATTATCTTGGCACAAAACCAAGAACATGTCACTTTGACAATGAAAGAAAGGAAAGTCTTCCTCCTAAAACAAGCATCAACAACTGTGCTGAATGCAAAGCTGTGACGAGTGTCCCTCCCAAATAGGCATGCAGTGTTAGTGTGATATGAAAGATTTGCATAGAATGAAAACCAAAAACAAAGTAGCTCTCAATATATATATATATATATATATATATATATATATATATATATATATATATATATATATATATATATACGTATATTTTCATTTTTTTATATTTAATACTATATTTTAACAATAAATAAATCAATAAACCAAAAAATATCAACATCTAATTGTTTAATTTGTGGATTCTTTATCAGTTTATTTCAAACCATGAAGAGGGTACAATCTCATGTCTCATTTTGGACATTTAACTAACCATTACAAGATAGGACAAGATAGGATAGGTCTGATCTCTCATAGCACTTGGTTACTTATACTGCACCCTAGAGTAAAATGAAAGCCTAATGTAAATCAGGTGCAACACAACTTTGATTCACATTCTAACAATGACCAATATAAAAACAACAACAACAACAGAGCTTAGAAGTTCGAATTGGAAAGTAGGAGGAAGGAAGCACAAGCGTGTCACAGTTGCAGTTAGAGGTGAAATGCTCTAGAGTCTAACATCTGAGAAATGTTCCAGTGTGTGGCGGCCCCCGGGTGTTTTCCAGCTCAGCCAGACACAAGTTACAGACTGACACAAGCACATTATGTACAGTACAGAAACATAACAGAGCAGAAGAAAACTACTTACACATCCTTAAACTCCTTTAGACTTGTTGCTGGGGAGAAAACGTCTAATAGGCCAATTACCTGAAAGAAGGCAAACACAATAACAGCAACTAAAGTGTTAAATGATGCAAGGGAAAAAGGGAAAAAGCAAGTACTGCATGATTAACTGCAAATAAGTTTAAATTGATGCAAAATAACTACATATTTTGTTGTTTGTAGAACCCATTTATCTTACTTTAAAAAAACTGCATACTGGGTTTGTCTCACAAATACATGTGATTCTTGCATTAGTTTACTTCTTGTGCTTTTTGTATTTACTTCTTGTATTAGTTTTACTTCACTTACAACACTTCTATGAATAAGTATATATGCACTCTGAACAGAATCCTGATTATCAAACCATTTGTAAATCTTTTTGCAATTCTCATCCATAAAAACAAAAAAACAAAAAAACAAATCTTCTGCTCTAAAGGAAACTCACATTTTCGTGTTTCATGTGCTTGAGCAGCCGCAGCTCTCGGTATGTCCTCTTTGCGTGAATGATAGACTGAAATGGACGGGAGAGTTTCTTCACAGCAACTTTCAAACCAGTTTTCACATCAAATGCAGAACTGTGGGAGAAGAGGAGATAAATCAAAGAATTGAAGTGTGTCACCCTTGTAAAAAAAAAAAAAAAAAAAAGTGTGATAATTCAAGAGTAACAAGCACATTATGATAGTAAGAAGTAAACTCTTAGTGAGGCAAAGTGTGCAAAGTGTGTCAGGAGCTGAGTAGGAGAGGAGTTGGCATTTGACACAATTTTGACAAAAGGAGGGCTGCTGAAGGCAAAGGAAAGGGCAACATCAGCACAAAATCTCCTCTCTCAGCAATCACAGCAGCCAGCCTCTCTGCTGCTGCACTCAAGACTGATCCTTCTCCATGTCATCACATTGAAATAAAAAAGACATCACCTGCCACTTCCTCTGTTACAATGCTATTGCTAGAACTGTGAAATTAATCAAACTTTAATTGATCCAAGACCTAATCATATGAAATAGTCAATGATCAGCTTGAAGGAAAAAATGCTAGTTTCTGGTGTTGAATGTCATTTATGTCTTATTTTTGAAAATGAACATAACATGAAAAACCATTATGTTGTTTTTAATATGAAAAACTAAATTGGCCATCTTAAGGGATTCATATTGGTGTCTGATCCAGGTTTTATACAGACACAAACCAATAACCTTATTTTTTTAAATATTAAATAAATAAAGTAAAATTTTTATGTTGACTGAGCAAATGGCCATGTTCAGTTGGCTTCAATAAAGGCTACTGCAGTTTAATCATGAATCTAATTAGAGATGTATGGATTAATTATAAAATGCAGCAGGGTAAACAGTTATAAAAGGGCCGTTTAGGAAAAACAATCCTGTCTGATCAGAGGGCGGACAGTAATCTGACCAGAGACAGATTATAGAGTTGCCCAGCAACAGCACAGCTGTCCTTTTCCATTTGCAAAACAAACATCTGCCCACTGGACCACGCTAGACCCAACACTAGTGTCCTAGATAGCACATGTACACAAACTACTGTTTAATCAATAGACAAGAAGACCCATCCTTGTCTTAACCTGATGGCACCTGTTGACCAAGGGTCCTCTTATCAAACACTGGTAAAGTGAGATCAGTTGTCCAAAACAAATGTAAATGATACGCACTACCATAGCCATACCAAAGCAGTAACTTCCAGCTAGTAACTGCTGCAAAACATTGGTCTGCTGGGTTTGTTTATTTGGGTAATGGCAAAACAGCATACTTTCTGAATTGGACAAACGTGTTTTGAGGAAGCAAATCTCACTGATTTGAAATGTACTTCTGAGTCAGACTGTGAGCGGCGAGGGGAAAAAAATATTTAAACTTTTCAGTCGCTGTACTCTCGTGTGAATAGTATAATTAACTGTAAATATGATTTTTATAAATTTGATCTGTTAAAACTTGAAAAGATAGAAGGTCTCTCAACACGTTACATAATTTATTTATTTCCATAAACACTGAAAGAAGAGAGGTTATACATAAAAGCCCTATAACTTAGGGAAAATAAGCAAACAAACTACGGAGAAAGATTTAAGACAAGCGCCTGGTAACAGCACCACCCTTGGTAACTTCTTGCAGAAGCTAATCTAACTTTAGCTAATGGTGCACGGGCCTGGTCTGAATGAATGGGGTTACGTTAGGTGACTAGGCGCCACAAAGTGATAAAAACACGTACCAAACGGATCCATATGCACCCGATCCCACTGGTAAGAGGTTCTGATACCGCTCTGGCACTTCCCAAATAGTTTTGTTGACGTCCTGCCGATAAAACTTGGGCCTTTCGTTCTGCGACATTTCTGCAAAACTGCCCACAGAGCCGTGAGGGAACTCCGAGGTGGAAACTTCGAGCGGTGCAGCCCGAGGTAAAGTTTGCAAAGTCCAAAAACAAAAACAGTGATGAACTATTCTCTCCTCGTTACTAAAACTTACACGCAACAAACTAAAATACAATGATGCGTGAGTGTTTTAGAAAATCTCCTTCATATATCCAGGTTTTTAAAGCTTTTCGCTTCTTGACTTGCCACACTCAGCAGACTTGCCACAGGCAGCTCCCGAGATTTCACTAACTGCTTACAACATGTCGCAAAATCTCGCGAGAAAACATAATTCCTTTAGTCATTAATGTACTGATATGATTATGAATTTCTAACTCGAGTCAGTTATTAAATTGATATATCCCATTTACAACACGCATAGCCAAATATATGAATTTAATAAAAGTAAAAAAAACTATATATATTCAGAAAGTCCTCCACATATTTTCAGTCAATAAAGAGGCACACAAGCAGAGGTTTGGCAACATTCTGAAGGATTTAATAATGAGATATTTGACAGAAATTTAAGTTAAAAAGTTATACAGCATTACAGTGTTACATGTTGTATAACTTAACAGTCAATGGTTACAGTCCACACAAAAAAACGTAACATCTCTTTTTAGTTTTAAAAGTCACATTCTAGAGTATCCTATTTTCTCTGTAACACTAGGCATATATAATCTTAATACCATTATCATTTATTAATAAATAAAATGCAAACATGACCTTTTATTAGCACATTTACCAAGTAAGTCCAAGTGGGTCTGATTGGTCTCAGTTTGTCATGACTCATACATAAACTAGTGCAACTGGTGTTGGCAATCTCGTTAACTAACAACAAAATGCATTCAAGATGTACAATGATATTGCGGACCCTTGTGTCCACCACAATGTAACATGTTTTCCATATAAAACCCTCTAGTTAGTCGTCATCGGAGTCCTCCTCTTGTTGCAAAAGCGAAGAAGATTTCAGTGGAACTGAGTCAAACCCATCCACAGTCCTCTGAAAAGTACAATAATACCATAGTTAATATTTTCTGTCATCTATTTTATTATAGTCTTCAAATGTAGACCTACCTCAGATCTGAAGGACTTGATTTTGGTGAAGAGGGATTTCTTGGTGAGGTCAATGTAGTCATCCTCTGCATCCTCTCCCTCCATAATGGCACAGCTGTCCGCAGCGGGCAGTTCACACTCTTTGTCTCCAGAGCTCATCATCAGTTTGGAGTATTTGTATTCAAGCCTAAATAGATACACACATTTGTTTGTTTTAGTATATTTGTTTTGGTCTTATCATGTAACAGACCAAAGTCACATCACATGATCATTTAGAACTCTACTCAGTTTACAGTAGATAATATTTTATATTCCTGTTTTTGTTAAAGGTGCACTATGTAACTTTGGGATGAGGTGTTCACAACTAGCTTTTCTCCATGGATATATAGTTTGCTTGGTATGTTTCATGGTACAACATTTAACTTATCTACATGTATTCCATTTTTTTCATTATGCAAAAATAGCTTGCATTCCAACAGGGAGTCATCTCTCCAAAGATCTGGCCTGTAACTTGGCATGCTTGTCCCCATGAAGATGTATAAATTTAATGATATGCTGTGGAACATTCAGGGCAAGGCACTAACATCTTCACTGAGAAAAGCAGGTGGTGCCACCAAGTCAAGTTTCAGGTTGGATCAAAAAAAAAAAATCTGACAAAAAAAATCTCACTTGCGAGTCCTTTTCCAGAAATAGCAGCTGATGCAGATAAGAAGAAGAGCAGATAATGTTCCTGTTGTGACACCAAACTTCAGCCAAAAGTCCAGACTGACACAGGCAGAGATCAGCTGCTCTGGGAGAGCTTCACCACCAATGCACTGAAGAGGCTGCTGCCATACGAATGTGGTTTTCTGAAACATACAAATATATCCTCAATAAACACAAACAAATAATGATAAATAATTCAACTGTGAAAATGTGGATGTTCTGTTATCACCTGTATTCCTTGTACACAAGCGCTGACTATCTCTCTATAGTGGTTCTTGGTGCAGAGTGGGCATGCGTTCTGACTTTCCCATAGGAAGTGGAAGGTACACCCATCACATGTGCCCTCAGAACAGTTACTGCACAATAAAAACAAAACATAGTTTATATATAATATAACTTTCAGTCAAATAAATTTTGGCTCCGTGATAGTGAGAAAAAGACAACTATCATTTTGTATGCTGGGCTAGAAGTTAAAACATTTAAGTTCATTTGCTCCACAATGCTTACAATTGCATATATATAGATGAATCAATATACAACGAATAACAAAACATTTATACTATTAACTACTAATACATTTCTTCAGTAGGATTAAGTTTTAACAAAATATGAATACACATTTCAATGAATCTTTATTTTGAATGTGGTATTTTTTTTTTCCATAATCAAGCAGTCTTATTTTGTTTTTTATTTCTTTGTAGTGCAGCTGTAACTGTAGCTATGTAACCAATAGAAGTCCCTTCTGTAAGTAAATTAGTTATTATTTCCATTAACAACTATTTGACCGGCTTTAAAGCCAGTCCTGTTACCTTGGTGTGGTGATCTGGTCTTTGGCGCTCACTGCGGGGTTACATCTCATCCGGACTGTGGCAGCTCTGCCCTGTTTACACGCCTGGGTTTTGTCTGTGGACCTGGAGAAAACAACATGCACACTAGGTAAAAAAATATATATAGTTTGGGAATCTAAAGACGCATAAACAGAAGGTGCTACTTACCTGTAGTAGAAGATGACATCTGGCAGTGTGGATGTAGAGGGGAATAACCCAGCTGGAGATGAGATGTCATTCAGTGAAGTCTCTATGGTGACACCTGAAGTATCATAACAAAATGTTGTGAACTCAGCCATCTATTACAAGTGTTGTGTCCCATTATTAACTGGTCCCCGAAGGGCAGAC